CCATGGTGGTCGAAGCGACACGCTCCTGGCACAGCGTAACCTGCACTCTGCCGAGCTCCCAGCGTGGGGGGCCGCAGGAAGGACTTTGCTCGCCCCCCCGGCCGGCAGTCCCGCAAGCGTTGCTGCATCACGGTGGCTCTGCAGAAACCCGACCTCCCGGCGGTGATTGCAAATCCCTATTTGTGGCGTGTGACTCGTCCCCAGAAGCAGGCGCTGCTATTTTGGCTGGCAGATAATCAGCCTCTCAAAAATAGGCGATGGCTCCAGGAGGGTGCGTGGGGAGAGAGCGTTCTGGAAGGGGCACACCCCCGGGCAGGGGAGGATAAAACCCGCTGCTCGCCGGCCCCAGCTCAGCACCGCTCCAGACCCTGCACCGAGCAGAGCCGCAGCACACGCCGGGAGCACACACCAGGAGCAGAGATGCTTTGCCGCCTGCACTTCATGCCACCCACATCCAGCGCTCTGTTCCCGTGGCTGGGACCCGTCCGCACCCTCTGGCCACATCCAGGCACCCTCTTCGCCGAGCTGGAGCGAGAACTGCGGCTGGAGATGGAGAGGGCTCGGGAGTTCATGAGCAGCTTCGAGCAGTTCCTGAGCAGCGGTAGCAGCCCCGGCCGGATCGGCATCGCTGCTGAGCGATGCCCAAGCACCAGCGCAGCCCTGACCCAGGGCTCCGGGGAAGGCTTCTCCGTCTGCCAAGATGTGAAGGACTTTGCGCCTGAGCAGCTGTCGGTGAAGGTGGTGGGCAGGAAGGTGGTGCTGGTGGGACAGAAGGAGACGCAGAACGTCGATGAGAAGGGCTCCTTCTCGTACAAGTACGAGGTGCTGAAGCGGGAGTGGGACGTGCCTGAGGAGGTGGACGCCGAGGCGCTGACGTGCTCCCTGTCCAAGGAGGGGCAGCTGCGCATCGAGGCCCCCAGGCTGGCACTGCCGGCCGCCCCGGAGAGGAACGTGCCCATCCAGGTCAGCCCTGCAGCCCCACAGCCCGGACCAGCCTCTGAGGACGGAGCTGCCAAGAAAGCCCAGATGTAACGGGAGGGCAACCGATGGCCTGCGGCAGGACCGGAGCAGACAGCAACAAGTCTCGGGGTTTAGCCCAGACAAGCTCCATCAGCAATGATGTCATTTTTTTTTT